TATAGAGAGAGAGAGAGAGAGAGAGAGAGAGAGAGAGAGATGGGCAGACTTCATCCATGAGCCAGTCACAACTCTTCCCACAATAGATTCCATAATTCAGTAAACTTGCTAGACAACAAGCAAGACCACAAAACAAGTAATATGAGCGCCGATATTGAGAACCAATCAGTGGAACAACACGCTGAGTTAGTCTATACTTGATCAAATCATCCAGAAAGCCTATCAAACAACAATTCTTTCACCCTCCCCCCTTTCTTTCTCTTGTATTCCCCCATCACCGCTTAACTTCATTCTCCTTTTCTGTCTTTCCTTTCTAAACAAACATCACTCCTACCCTCCCTCTCCCTTCTTTGCCGTTCCCATTCCCCTCTCTTCATTCCTCACATCCCCTTTTCCTTCCTGTCCTCCCTCCCTTCCTCCTCCTTTTCCCATCCTGTTCCTTCTTACAATCTTCTACGTCTTCTCATCCCTCTTTCGCTTTCTACGCTTCATTATTTCTCTTTTCTCTCCCCCCCCCCGCAACCCCCTGTCCTCTCTTCCTCCTCCTTCTAGAATTCATATTTTACACTTTCTTTACCTCCTGTTAATAATCTCACTGGTTGTATTCACAACAGAGGGCAAATGTCTGTACAAGAACAAGCTGTATGGTCAAGGCGCCAAGTGGTACGACGGATGTGACTATGAGTGTGTGTGTACCGACGCTGTCCACGGGAAATACGAATGTACCAACAAGTAAGTCGTTTTTGCTTCGAAAGGGCCAAAAAGGAAATAATTTCACAATTGAATGCACTAAACAGTAAGTTATCTATACGAACTAAGTTAGTTCCGCTTTGAATGTACCAAAAAGTAAGTTATTTGAGCGAAGTAAGTCAGTTCTTCTTTGAATGTAGGCTACCATAAAGTAAGTTATCTCTCCATTGAATATATCAACGAGTAAGTCCTTTTTCATTGAATAGACAAAAAGTGAGCAATTCTTCCTATGAATGTATCAAAAGCTAGCCATTTCTCCTCCAGGGCTTAAAAGTAATTAATTTATTCTTTGAATGTATCAAAAGGTAAACCATTTCTCCTTGAAATATATAAAAAAGTAAGTCATTTCTTCATTGAATTAACCCCAAAAATCAAATCTTTTCTCCTGCGTGCCAAAAAGTAAATCTTTTCTCTTTTTAAATGTTCTAAAAGGTAAACGAGATCTCCACTGAATGCACCAAAAAGTAAGTCATAGATCTATATACTTCAATCCACTTTCACGCGATCAGTTTTGTGCCTGTCAGAAATTGCGCGACCGAAGCAAAACTGATGTAATGCTTTGACCTCACCGTTACCATACTAAGGGGAGAGATATTAGATTAGGAGAGATAAGATAAGATAGAAAAGTTGAGACGATATAAGGTAAAGATTGATTGACAGTACATGTTTTACATCCTTTTGGACTCAAAATGAATAATTTTCCGGGTGGGGGAGGTTGGGGGGGGGGGGGG